GCCCACCTCTCAAAGGAAGCTTTACAGAGCAGAGCCATGACTCGGGTATATCATGGGTGAACATGATGATCAACCAGTAAGATTGCAGATACAGTCACTTAGGTGATATTGATCCAGTGGCAGCAAGGGCACATGGGTAACAGCATTAACCTTGAGATAGATAGATATTTTCTTAGTGGGTGGGAGAGGATGGCCTACCCTAAGACAGTGGGAAATCTCAAAGGGTGATACACGAGCCTCCCTTCATCCCTGAGGGAAGCATGTGGAAGTAGCCATCGTGACTGTAGTCTTCAGGTTGGCCTCCAGCCACAGTCCCCATGCAGTCTCATCTTCTGCTCTGACTCCCCTGAGGGGCCGGCCCTGTCTGACTGCCGACTATATTCTGTCTAACTTAGCTGTCTATGATAAGGACACAAAAGCTCCTCCTTTGTGAGCTGTCCCAGTCTGCGCTGTGCTTGTAAATCAGCAGTCCTGACCTGTCCAGTCCTCATACCGCCTCTGCATTCTTCCATCTCTGTTTATAGCAGCACTCAGAAAACCCGTTTCCACTTGGAGAGACCTGCAGGCCTAGAACAGCTGGTCCTGTCCCACGTGAGAGTCTGTCCGTGGGGTGGTAAGGCCAGGGAGCAACATGCAGAAAGATGACTGCTGTTTCAGTGAGACAATCCTAGTCAAGGCCTGAGCCAGCTTGTCCAAGTTACCAGAGACTTGAAAGTTAACTGCTACATCAGTGTAACTGTACTAGATTTACAGCAGATTGCTGCAGTTGATGCACTGAGTACTTAGGGGATCCTATAAGGCAGATTGAGGAGTGGGCAGGCACCTGCTGCTCACTGTGTGTCTTAGAGTGAAGAGAATCACGGATCAGTCCCGGGGTTCAGAAGCAGTGAGGCGAGCGTGCGTGCTGGGCAGGTGCCAGTGTGCATTGGGTTGGAAGATAGGCGTTTGACTCTGTCTTCACCACCAGCGCTTTGTGACCTTGAACAGCAGAAACGCAGGTGTTCATGTGTGTAGAAATAAAAACGAGAAATATGAAGATGTATCTGACAGTACCTTCAGGCCTGGGCATACAGCTGCATTCCTAGCTCTTCCCTCCTGTTCTAGGAGAGGGTCTCGCCTGGCCTTGAGCTTATTGGATAGTTCAGGCTGGCATGAAACTCACAGTGATCCTCCTGCTTCAGCCTTCTGAGTGCTGGGACTGTGGGTGTACTGCCACCACCCCTAGCTCCCTAGGCCTTTTTTGTTATCTTTCTTTTTTGAGACAAGGTCTCGCTATGCAGTGCAGGCTGGCCTTGAACCCACAGTGCTCCTCTTGCCTCGGTGTATGCCATCACACCCAGCTCTTATTTATATTTTTTAATTTAAAAATATTTACCCCCCCCCCCCCAGGAAGAGCAGGAAGTTAGGGAAAGACACTACATTTTTTTGTTTGGTTGGTGTTGGTTGGTTTTGGTTTTTTTGCAGTACCAGGGATTGAACTCAGGCCCTTGCGCTTGCCAGGGAAGTGCTTATTCAACTGAGCCCTCTCCCCAGCCCCTGCTATTTATTTTTAGACCAGCAGTCAGTATATTTATGTGAGGTACCTAGGCTTTGTGCCAGATGCGCACACCCAGATACAGGCTAACGTGAGAGTTCTGAGCACACCGAAGGTGGGCCACACCACTAAGCTGTTCAGTGAGTTAGATGTATTCAAGTGCCCTTTTACTTGAGCTGTTTTCTACTTCCGGATTTATCAGGATGTAACCCTGTCATAAGTTGAGGGTTACCTGTAGTTGGGAAAGTGACTAAAATATGTGAAAAAAATTAGGAACATTGAATATGGTGGCACATGCCTGTAATCGCAGCACTTGGGAGGCGGAGGCAGGAAATCAAGGGGATCACTGCCTGTTTGAAGCCAGCTTGGGTTTATGCAAGACCCTGTCTCAAAAAAAAAAAAAAAAAAGAAAAGAAAAGAAAGAAATTAGGAGGGGCTGGAGAGATGGCTCAGTGGTCTAAAGCACCTACTTGAAACAAGCTTGGCAAAGCACAGGGACCGCGGTTCGATCCTCCAGCACCACATGCCAGCCAGACCCGCCCCCTGGTGGGCTGAGCTGGCCACACACAATGTAATAAATAAAAATAAATAAATATTAAAAAAAAAAATTAGGAGTATGATATAAAATACTCATTATGATACTGAAATGACAAGATTATTAATAAAGCCAGCCATCAGACCCTTCCTGTGTTACAGATCTTCAATGTCCAGTGGCATCCCAACTTGTTTCCCTGGATCCTTACAGATCAGAACTACATCTGGCCTTGTTCTTCGTTTCATCTCTACTTAAATATCTTTTTTTGGTTTCCATGGCAACCACTATGGTGGTTTATTTAAGATGTAATATTGCCATATTACCCCGTACCTACCATGGTTGACTCAGGTCACGTGATTCTTCTTTGTAATTCTGTTTTCCTCTTATTTCTTTTGTTTACAACTTTTTTTTTTTTTGGCTGACTCAGTCCTCCCTGGGGGTGGGGCTGGCTGGGCATGTGGTGCCAGGACGGGGTCCCTGTGTTTGCCTAAGCTTGCCTAAGCAGGCGCTTTAGACTGCTGAGCTATCTTGCTGGCCCCGTTCACAACATCTAATAAGAGTCAGGAAGGAGTGAAGGAGTTACATCTTAATAGGGTGGATTGAAGGCTAAACTAGAGCTTCTTTTGCTAGGATAAAATTAACACAATGGAGAGCCACCGTCCCCTACAATACTGTACGTGGTCCAGACTCAGACCTGTGGAGAAGTAAAGAGAACTGGACACAGTACTCCAGAGGGGATGGAGCCAGAGGAGAACTCTTGCAGTGGGGCTGGGATAGACTTTAGGGGTTGTTTGTAGATTGGTGTGCTGCTTTATACAAACAGTTTGTTATGGTTTGTGTCTAGATGCCCCCAGAGCCTGATGCAGTCCTGGTGTGAGCAGGCTTTTTTCAGAGGTGGCTGAGTCTAGAATGCATGGCTGATTCCTCGGGCAGTACTGGGTTAAGGCTGGGTGACTGCTGGGTCCGTGCAGACTAGGTTGGCACCACCTTACTCCCAGCAGTCTGGATAAGATAAAAAGGGGCAGAAAGAGGTGGTTTCCCTCCTTTGCCCTTGCTGTCTTGCTATTTTGTGCCGCTATGAACTGCTGCCCTCTGCAATGTTTCGCCTGCCTTGGAGCCAGCCAAGTGTGGACTGAAACTCTACAACTGTGAGCTAAATCATTTCGGTTATTTTTTCTCAACAATTAATGAAAAGTAAGGCACAATTTTGTTTGTTTGTTTCTACTGGGAATTGAACTCAGGACCTTGTGCTTGCCAGGCAGGTACTTGCACTGCTGAGCTGTATCCCTAGCCCATAAGATAAAGTTTTTTTGGTTTTTTTATTTTATTTTATGTGTGTGTGTGTGTGTGTGTGTGTGTGGCCAGCTCAGCCCACCGGGGGGCGGGGCTGGCTGGCATGTGGTGCTGGGGGGTTGAACTGCAGTCCCTGTGCTTTGCTGAGCTTGTTCTAAGTAGGTGCTTTAGACCACTGAGCCATCTCACCAGCCCCATAAGATAAAGTTTGAAGAGATAGCACTCACCTCCTTTTTCATACTGTAAAACATTTTGTGCTCCCTCCAGATGTTAAGATGAGTGTCTACATGAAGAGAAGGACAAGACTTGGGGATTTAATACATTTTATAAGAGCTAAAAATTGAGTCTTGTTTTTCCTTATAACCCCCATATCTAATATAGTGCCCGATAAGCAGTAGGGACACTGTGGACCTGTTAAATGGGAACTGAATACCACACTATTGCTCTTTATTACTTTTACTAAGTCTGTCCATTCAGTGGTAGTATCAGAGTAATTGTTGTTTGGATTTGCTTTGGTCTGCTTTGGTCTGGTCTATTTGAGATGTGATATTGCCATATTACCCAAGCTGGCTCTAATCTATGGGTCTCCCATGGAGTCAAGACAGCAGATATGCACCACAGAATCTGGAAGAGATTACAAGGGGTTTGGTGCATGTTTACTTGTCCACAGTCCTGAAGAGCCTCACTCATGCTACACAAGTGCTCTGCCGCTGAGCCACGTTCCCGGCCTTGCTTTTCTTTTTGAAGCGCTAGGATCCCATCCAGGCCTCACATGTGCTAGGCATTTGTACACGGAGCTACAGCCCTAGAGTAATTTTTACAGCTGAATGAGCTCTGCTTATGATTTTAAATCTCAAGGACTTCAGTGAACCATTACCTATTGAATGTGGTCCCCGTTTCTGAGCAATCTTCTGTGGTCTTTTGTGTTGATACACACGGTACACTAGTTTAACTAGGCTGCTTGCCCTCCCTACTTCTTTATAGCTCTATGGTTTTATCAGCATTGTGTCTTCTATGTGGCCTGCACCTGTCAAAATCTTCCTGCTTCAGAAATAAGGTGTCAATGCCGATTCCTCCATAAAGCTGTCACCCCCTCCTCTCTAAAGTCATCTTCCATCTGAATTCTTACTTTAGCACTTTGTAGCATGACATTATTTTCATGTTCCAATAAGTGATGAGTCCTCAGCAAAGATTTACCTCAGTTTCCTCTGCTACCAACTTTTTTTTTTTGGTACCAGGGATTAAACTCAGGACCTTGCACTTGCTAGGCAGGCACTGTACCACTGAGCTATCCCTGATGCACCAGCTAATTATTGTATTGGCTAAATATAAACTACATAGACCAGTGACCTACAAACACATACATTCATTTCAGAAACTATATAGGCCCAAGCAATGTATTATTCCTGGAACTGAATTTAGGAAGTTGTTTTTTTTTTTTTTTTTTTTTTTTTAAGAATGCCATCTATTTTTTTCACACTTTTAAAGTGTATATTGGTTATACAGATTGAGGTTCCATTTTAGCAGATTCGTACCTGAACGTGATATACTTTAGTCATTTTCATACCCTGAACCCCCTTCCCTGGGTACCCCCTGGTGACACTGACCAATCTTTGTGTGATTCTCCTCCTCTTCTAGGGCACTGTCTTCAGTCTGGAGTCGGAGGAGGAGGAGTACCCTGGCATTGCTGCAGAAGATAGCAATGACATTTACATTCTTCCCAGTGACAACTCCGGACAGGTCAGCCCCCCAGAGTCTCCAACTGTGACCACTTCTTGGCAGTCAGAGAGCCTGCCTGTTTCCCTGTCAGCGAGCCAGAGCTGGCATACAGAGAGCCTCCCAGTGTCTCTGGGCCCCGAGTCCTGGCAGCAAATCGCAATGGATCCTGAAGAAGTCAAAAGCTTGGATAGCAACGGAGCTGGAGAGAAGAGCGAGAACAACTCTTCCAACTCTGATATTGTGCATGTGGAGAAAGAAGAGATTCCCGAAGGTGCGGAAGAGGTGGCTGGGGCTGCACCCTTGCCAGCCAGGGAGCTGGGAGCAGTGTTGCCAGGGGCTCCCGCTCCCTTGCTTCCACATGTCACTGCCACTTTGTCACAGACAAGGGAACCTGACACGGAGGTGATCTCGATGGAGGAAGCCAGCCCTGCCACATCTCTGTTTGTGGAGCTTGGAGAAGAGGAGGTGAGAGCAGCAGCTGTGGAGCCTCAGGGAGTGCATGAGGGTGTTCCCCCTGCACCACCGAGAGCAGAGGAGGCCCCTGGCAGGAAGGAGAGGCCCAGTGGGGAGGCGCCCCCTGCCCGGGAGGTGCAGGCCTTCCCCGTGCCCGAGGGCAAGTCTATACTGCTGTTTGGAGGGGCTGCCGCCGTGGCCCTCCTGGCAGTGGCATTTGGGGTTGCGCTGGCTCTGAGAAGAAAGTAATGGCTTTTTCAGAAGAGATTGAAGATGAGAAGGTCTAAGGTTTTAGTTGTATTAGCTGGAATTTGAACTGCCAGCAGCTGATTGGACGTTTATGGAACACAGAGAACTGGGATGTCTGCTCAACACGACAGTGGCCTGACCCACGCGGAGGGCTGGCATGGAGGGAGTGCGGTCGCTGTGGTCTGATTTTCACCTCCTAGGGCCTTGGCTCACGCTGCATCCGAATCCTCGCTACAGTACTCCCTCTAGAGCAGGGCGTCTTGGCATTTCGATGATCCCCTTAGAGAGGCCATCCTATGCCCTGGAGGATGTCAGCGACAGCCCTGGCCTCTGCCCACTAGATGCTGGAGCACCCATCTCCCAGAGAGGAAACCAGAAGTGTCCCAAACATTGCCAAATGTCCCCTGTGGGCAAAATCATCCCCTATAGAGGTCCACTGTTTAGAGGGAGAGGGTTACTTTTAAAAAATGTGGTAGACATTCCCAGGCTTAGCTGGGGAATTTCATCTGCTCTGATGAATGGCCGTTCTGCAGCCGCTCCCCCACCCATCCCGTAGTGAGGGCACTGTCCCTGTCATACCACCTCAGGTTCCAGACCGCTGTTCTTCTGCCCTCGGTCCCCTCTGGGCTATGGTGAGGGTTCACCCGGCAAACACCTCTTTTACACCTGAGGAGCTCAAGGCTTCCTATAGCTCCACTTTGTGGAGATGCTGCCTTTAGGAAGCCTGAAAAAATTATGTAGATGATGAGAAAATGAGACCTAGGGCTCCCTAGGCTGCACATTCCTGGCTGCAGAGATGTCTCTCTGCCTTAGAGGCAGGAGGGTGACCTGACGGGCCTGTGGGCCTCCTCGAGCCCTCTGGGTCATGGTCACCCCCTTGCCTCCAGGGACCTGCCAGCAGCACCAGGGCTCAAGTGCTGCTGTCTAACCCAGGTTAGTGCATTCTTTCCTTATCGGCCTGTCCTAGGACTGGTCGCCCAGTTCTGTGGGTCTCTTACTACATGGTGAGGATTGTTGTCCTCGGACTTACAGATTGCATTGGGTCACAACTGATTAATTGTGCTCTCATTGAAATAAAATGATAAATATTTTATCAGTTAGTCCCAGACATCACTGAAATTTAAAGTGAGAATACTTTAAATACTTTATAGTGAGAAAGCTTGAACTTCAAGTGTGAGGCTCCTGGGAGGCCCCAGTTTGGCCCTCACTGTAGGGACTGAAGGCCTCTTCCCTTGAACGTGGCGCAGCACAGTGCCAGAGCCGGCAGCTGGGGCCCAGCCACTGCGTGCTAGTGAAGGGCAGCGTGGATGTCTCCTCCACGAGGGTTGGCACCCTGCTCTTTTGCACCCACAGCTGGATAAGAAGTCATCTCAGATTTACCTTAGTCCATGTAACAAATTAATTTTTAGATCCTGCAATTTATAATAAAAATACTTTACCTACCCTGATCACCAGGACCTGATGTTTGAATGTGCTTTCTTTTTGAAATTTATTTTTTAAAATAAAATCTCCCTGGGGCTGGTGAGATGGCTCAGTGGTCTAAAGCACCTACTTAGAACAAGCTTAGCAGAGCTTGGGGACCGCGGTTCAATCCCCCAGCACCACATGCCAGCCAGCCCCGCCCCCTGGTGGGCTGAGCTGGCCACACACACACACACACACACAAATAAAATTAAAAAAATAAAATCTCCCTAAAGCAGTACTTCTAAAACCTCTTAAGAGGTCCAGGTGTGCATTTGTGCCCTATCATCCATCCGATCTTTTTCTGTACACCATTTGCAAGCGATACAGTGCTGCTAGTTCACCAACACTTTTGTTTACAGTCATTTGGCAGAATTTTGCTTTTTTTTTCTCCAAACTCTGCATCCGAGGACAAACAGACCTGCAGGCATCTTTCCCACTTTTTCCAAAACAAGAAAAATGAAGCTCGCCAACCAGGGCGCCTCTGTGAAGGGCTGGGTGTGCTGGTTGCTTAGGCTGGAGGGGAGGGGAGCATGGGGTGAGGGAAGTAACTGTGCCCCTCTGTGTGTTCTGGCAGATGTCTGGATTGTCTGTTCTAAGTGTGAATCTGTATTTACATAGGGTAAATTCTGATTTTTTAAAAGTTTATTTGGTACAGGGTCTCACTACAAAGAGTTGTAGTAATCCTCCTGTCTCAGCCTCCCCAGAGCTGGGACTACAGGCGTGCACCACCATGCCTGGTTTTGGGGGGCCAGCATGGCCCGCCCAGGGTTCTGGGGCCGGACCAAGCCAGCATGCGGGGATGGAACTCAGGTCCTTGTGCTTGCCAGGCAGGCTCTTAGACTGCTGAGCCAGCTCCCCAGCCTCACGATTTTTTTTTTTCCTCTCGATTTTTAAAAAAATCTTTTCATAATGAAATATTTTCCTTGCAGTGTTACTCTGGGTCCTTACAACTACTGGCTGAGTAAGTGCTAACAGAAGCTTGGTGGTTTTTTGAGCTAAGAGCCAACAGAAATGTGGCTTAGGATACTCTGGGTCTGTATTCTCCACCCATCAAGAATAGGGAAGACGTCTGCAATTGCTGCTCTTTTATTTTCCCCCCTATTTTTTTTTTTTTTTTTAATTTTTATTTATTAGAGAGAGAGAGAGAGAGAGAGAGAGAGAGAGAGAGAGAGAGAGAGAGGTGTGTGTGTGGCCAGCTCAGCCCACCAGGGGGCGGGGCTGGCTGGCATGTGGTGCTGGGGGATTGAACCGCGGTCCCTGATGCTTTAGGTAAGCTTGTTCTAAGTAGGTGCTTTAGACCACTGAGCCATCTCTCCAGCCCTTTCCCACCTATTGAACACTAACCTAAAGTACTTTGGCCAAGTGTATTTTCGGGGTGGTGGTAAATTACTCTGCCGCGTGGACTTTGCTGACAGGCTTCGTCAGTAACCCTATTCTTTCTCTTTTCTATCTTCTTGGGTACTGGAAATGGAACTCAGGATCTTAGGCTTGCCAGACAGGCACAGGAGCTGCTGAGCTATTTCCCCAGCCCCTCTTTATTTTTTCTCTACTTCTTTTATCTCCTGGCTGAAGGATGAATGGCCATGAGGGTTGCTTACTGCAGCTCCTAGATTTTATGAATACATTAAAAATATTTCAAGTCCCTCTCCTCTTTTCTAAGGGCTGGTAGGAGGCCCTTCCTTATGTCCTGACTTAGAGAGTATCTAAGTCTAGGTACACCCAGTTTAGAGAATTGTATCAGAATTAAGATCACCCCACTTATCATCCCTGTTCTCTGAACTGCACAGGGAAAGTCATTCTATAGAGGCTGTTTCCAGTGAGGGTCCTTAGGGCCTTGTCCATTTCAGTATACCATGAGCAACACCCTCAGCCCTCTGTAGAGCTCTGCTTAATGTGATTTTTTTTTTTTAAATTTGTTTATTTTGTGTGTGTGTGGCCAGCTCAGCCCACCAGGGTGCGGGGCGGGCTGGCATGTGGTGCTGGGGGATTGAACCGCGGTCCCTGTGCTTTGCTAAGCTTGTTCTAAGTAGGTGCTTTAGACCACTGAGCCATCTCGCCAGCCCTAATGTGATTTCTTATTACTTGGCATAGAGCTAGTAAGGGTTTCCTGAGAAAAATACAGGGTGAAGACTGGGCAACACCACTGTGGCCTGTCTCGGGCGTCCCCACCCCAAGGCACCTGCCTGGCTCTTCTGCTTGCTGGTGTGCTGCACCGTCTCAGCAAACGCAGCCACTGGCTAGGTTCACTTGTCTCGAGCTACAGCTACCGAGGATGGTCTCAGCTCTCTGCCACTCCACTTGGTGATGCAGAAGCAGTACTTGTCCCCGGTCTTTTTCTCTAAAAGTGTGACAGCTAAGATTTTGTACAGAGGAATTTTCTCTTTCACAGATTCTCTTGGACAGTGTGTCGTGGGCATGTTATTCAGCACGAGGGTCTGTAGCTCAGCCCTGCTAGCCTCAACTGGTCAGCCTCTTGGAATGTCTCAGTGACATGTGTAGTGCCAGAACCCAGACCTGCTGCTAAAGATCACCACCCCTCTGTGAGGCTAGTGTGTTTAGCTTCCAATCAGTGTCCTCTTTCTAGAAAAAACTCTGGGAGCCTTTAATTTTTGCAGCTGTTAGTTCAGCATTTCCAGCATGCCCATGAGTGCTGCAGTGCCTTCATGGGTCCTCTGCGGCTCGATAGCTGTCCCTTTTCCCTGCTCCCACACTGACGGAACCCTAATCAGAATCCCTAGCTTTCCCAGGGTCTTTGAGTGTGTAGGGTAGGCAATGCTTTGAATTTTTCTGACTCCAAGTCTAGTTGTTTGCTGAGTATCTCACTATGTAGCCCAGCCCGGTCCCAAAACTCTGGGCAGTCATGCCTCAGCCTCCCAAGTGCTGGATTACAGGTGTGCGCACTACGCCCAGCTACTGTGCGTTTCCCAGGTTCTTCTGCTATGACTGCAGAGCAACCTGGGCAGCTGCATCACCCACACAAGCGCACATGCCTGCGCGCTGCTTGCCGGCACTGTCTGTAAGGCCCTGTGCTGGGCTCCTGCCTACCGTGTTCCACTGTGGGAAGATAAGTCTATGCCTGGGCTTCTAATGGCCCCAGTGGCTGCCTCCCTTCCTGCTGAACGCCAAGCATGGCAGGTGACTTCTCTCTAGCTTGCTTGCTGAGTTTGCTGGTTTTGCTTGTAAACGAGGTGATGCGGCCTGACACATGGAAATCAAGTGCCTAGGGAGGCAGGTGGACAGTGATCCCATCTCCTCTGCTGCCAAAGCTAAGAGCCCGGGGTGGGGGTGTGAGGCCAGTACAGAGCCCTGGCAGACGTTGCCTGGCCTCTTGCCGCTCAGGGCGCCGCTTCAGGACTGACCGGGATCGTCTTGCTCCCCTGGGAGATGATGCCGGAGAAAAGCCTTGCCCGCCTGCCCTAGCGGCTGGCCTGTGAGCTCCGGGGCACGCGAGAGCGGCCTGTAGTTACTCATGTCATGAAAGCTCAGGGTCGGAAACTCCAGATGCAGGGTACCAGCACAGCCCGTCTTCCCCTTCTTCACGCAGGCCCATTAGCCTCTGCCGGGCTGGCCGTGTTCCCTCGCACCCAGACCGTCAGGGTCTCTCCCATTTTCTGTTTACATCCCACGAGCCCTCGCCAGACAGCGCTTCAGGGATGCTCAGGCAGGAACTGTTCTCAGGGTTAAAAGCAGCAGCTGGCTCAGGTGATTGCCCTGCGGGACCTCTTGTCACACTGCTGCCCGCTTCAGGGGCTGCTCTTGCACCACCAGAAGAAACGGGTCACTGAATGGACTGTGTGGACAGAAGTCACTGGTCTGGCGCTGCCACCTCCTCCTCCAGGAAAGGACACCGAGGGCCGTCTTTGAAGGGCCCTGCCGCAGCCACGTGACGTGCACTGTACACAGGTCGCTGGCTAGCACCAAAGAGAAAGGCGGGATTTGTTTTTTCCTAGACCCGTATTTTTCACATTGTGGTCCTCCATTCCTCTCATCTTTCCCAGTAAAAGTGCCTCTATCTAACTCACTGCTTTTTGAAATGTTTGTATTAATGTTTTGGCATTAATTTATTGGTATTTTACATATATAGATAGCATTCATCCCAGGGAGTTTGTACCCATCCGTGACACAGCTTGCTTTTTTCCTGCTCCCCTGCCCTCCTCGCTCTGTTCTTAGGGTGGCTGTGATGCTGCCCTCTCCCCCAGATGTGGTGTTCCTTTTGGTCATTAACATAAGCAGGTGACTTCCGCCACCGCCGCCGGCATTTCCTCGCTCCCTGCTCGCGGAGCTCGGGCTACCCTACCCGCTCCTGCCTGCCGTCGGCCTCCTGGCCAGTCTACTTTCCTTCGGAGAAAGGAATAAACTTCACGTCTCTGAACTGTGCTTTGTGGAAGGAGGAACTTGGGGAGAATACATTGGAAGTGGCAATAAAATGAGAGATGAAGAGAAAACTCCTTTGTTCATGTGGCAGATTACTTCAGACAAGTAATCTTGCAGTCTTTGTGAATACATGGTATGACTGAAAAAAGTTTTAAAAATCACAGAAAGATGCAGTGCCGGGAATCCTTTCAAAATACTCCCTCACTTCAAAAGTACATCCCATTGTTCCTACCACTTTCTGAAGCAGTTCTAATTTCCTACTTGTGATGTCATGGTTGCCTCAGTGTTTTTTGTTTTTTTGAGGCTGGGTTTCTCTAGTTCAGCCCAGTGTGGAACTTACCATAGCCCAGGCTGGCCTTGAACTCAGCGATCCTCCTGCCTCAGCCTCCCAAGTGCTGGGATTGCAGGCAAGTGCACCACACCCTGTGTGCCTCAATATGTTGAATGGATTCAAATCCTTCACAGTCATCTTGACTTTGAGAAGAAACTGGAAGTAACACAGGGCCAGATGTGGCACTGTTTCTACGAGCCAGCTTTCCACTGGATGGCGCTTGGCAGCAGCAAGCACCATTTTTTTTTTTTTTTTTTTTC